CTCGGTGCGTCGAACGGCACAGCCATAACGGCTCAATGCTCATTCCGAATCGGACAAGTGTAAGGATGGACGTCATTCTGGCCGCCAAGATATATCGCGCGCGCCCGATCAAAGTCACGCAGATGCCGAACGAGACGTACATAAACACTAACCGCCGAGGGAACACAAGTTACACGAGTAACAATAATACGCAGTACACAATACTCGTGTCACCATGACATTCGACGCGCTACACCTAACACCGTCGCCATCCATAAAACGCATTCCTTACCCAACGCAGCGTTAAGATTTCGTTGCGACAATTCTTTCCTATCGGATCCTGATACAAGAAGCTAACGTTCTTTAGAAATTTGTTCGAAAGCGAGGTTAGTCAGATTCTTTTAATTTATTGAGCTTCGAAATTAATTTTGTTCTCGTAAGGTTGTCTCGTGTAAGATAAAGAGAGAGAGAGAGAGAGAGAGAGAGAGAGAGAGAGAGAGAGAGAAGGGGGGGGGGACAGATTAACTTTTGTTTGTTGAGATAATCGTAAATTTGGAAGCGAAAGAATCTTCGTAGTTACGAACAATAGGGAGTTTTTGTAATAATGAATCCAGATACGGTGAACGTTAAAATCTGTATCTGGTTATCCTTTTCTTAAGTAGTTATTAAGAAGATAACCTGATCGTAGAGTTCAGGAAAAACGGTATTGTAAAAACTCCCTAATAAGGATGCGTTCCATTAAACAATGCTCATATCATTTCATCTTTGTTTATCAAATGTTAAACAAGGATAAAATGATGTATGCAAGTCGCAAACGTTGCGAACGTTAAATGCAATGCAAGGAGATAAAATATAACTTATAATTAGTCGCGACCAATTTTAATCGCGCATTCCTATAGCGATTCATTTTTGTATCACGGTATAAATAATGATAAGAACGTTGCACTGCTAATCATAATGTTCCATTAAAACGTGAAAATACCTCAATCGATGTACTTACAGCCCATTATATTTTCGATGAGGAAATTACGGTAATTTAATGAGCAATTTGGCTAACAATAAGTACAAAGAATTGGTATTAACATATTATAATTAATTTTAATGCTGATAAATTAATGTTATAATTAATATCAATAAGTTAGTCCAATTTGTTAGCATTTTATTCAAAGTTTAATTCTTTTTACAAGAAAAGAATGTAATTTTTTAAATTTTATACGACATTAAAAATTCTGTTTTATTTTTATATGATTTATTTACAAATGTAATATTTGATATCGTTTTAAATATAATGCATACGGAATTGCATGCAGTCGGAATTTTGTATTTACATATATCGATTATTAGTATTTCTTTTTTAATAATTTTGCAAATATATTATATAAAATATTAAAATGATAATATATGATAATATAATTCTTTCTGTGTACATATATTACTATTATTATTAACAAAGTAATTGTAATATATGTTAATATTAACTCTTCATAATTTCGTTGAACTAAATACAATTTTTTATATAAAATAATAATAAATTACGATATTGTGATAACTATTGGATACATTCAAAATTTGTAATATAAATATATGTAACTTTGAAAGTCGACGAATGCAGATGTACTCCAGTTCAGATTTTTTAAATAAAATTCATTGGAAAGTAAATTTTATATTATGCATACTTAACTATTACAATCTTACTTAACTTAACTATTATAATTTTGCGATATGCTACAGTTTCATCATACAATTAAATAGTTTATTTTTTAGTTTTCTCAAACTTAAAATTTTATTTTAGTAATATTTTTTTACAAGGATTAGAGCTTTAAGTTTTCAACAATTCTGTAACCTGGTTTTGATTCTTTAATAAGAATTTGGAACAATTCAGAAATAAGTTTTTTAATCAGATCACAAGTTAAAATTAAATATTCTCTTATTATTTTAGAAATATAGAAATATCTCATATCTTAAATAGAAATATCTTATTTATTTAACAAATTAGTATTATAAGGCTGATCAATATCTTATTAGATTAATAATATCGATCGATATTTGTTGTTTTAAATGCAGATATGGATGCACTTCCTATGAATCTGGCAGCTGCAGTACTGAAGGATCCGGTTCGGGCCAAGCAAGATCGGTTTGAAGGTTGGTTTTTATCTTTACTTTAGCATTTATGCTTGATTTTACAATTTAATTATTTTAAAATATACATACGCCTTTTATAGAACTTAACTACTATAAATAATTATTTATACTATAATAATATGCTATATTAATATGTTAAATATATTAAAAAATACTATACATATGTATAATTTAAAATTACACATTTCTCTGCATAATGAATTGATATAGTTTTGTTTTAATAATTGACATATTTAAAAAATATCTTTTGCAAATTTTTAAAATTACTATTTATAATACAATTAATTAATATACTTACTTGTTTAATTTAAAACTAATTGACATTATATTTTCATTATAGAGACCTGAACGAGATGTGCTAGGGGATTCTGATTTGGTAGTATCGGTGAGTAGGTGATAGTTTTTTCTGCCGAAATAACTTCTGAAATCAGTGTGATTTATTTTGCATGTAGATTTTTGCATGTAGTTGTGTATTTTTGTATAAAAAATGTCTGACTGTAAAAAGAATATAGGTCGAATAGAATATCGAAAAGCATAGAAAAACTCATGAAGCTAAATTCATAAAAAATGTTATAAGTCTAATTTTTATGGCGTGAATATAATTATACTATTATTTTATATTTTGTTTACTATTATTTTTTATTAACGTATTCACGATTAAATCTATTAGTTGATGTGGATTTTTATTAAATTAAATTTAAATTGTAAATATATTGCGATAAAAAAATTATTTTTTATTATAATTCTTAAATTCTGATTTTTTTCTACAAATTTTGACTCTGTTATTTTCATCAAACAATATTTGTAAAGAGTTTGTGAAATTAAGTCTCGCTAGTGTATTGTGAAGTGAAGTGACCTTCGCAGAAATATATTTCGAAGCAATATAATCTTCACAAAAATGTTAAGAAGCAAAAAAAAAAAAGAATTCTTATATCTTGTTCTGCAATAAAATATAATCTAAATTCAGTTTATAAATATCTTCCAACAGATTATCATTAAAAAAATTATTAACTTTACGTCATTAAATGTTTTCGTCAATAAATTTTCAAATTAAATCGTTAATTTTATATCGCAAATGCATATTATTTATGAAATGATGTTAAAGTACACTGGACATATAAAACTCTTTAACATTTTACACAGTAACTGTAATTAATAAATCCAATCATATCGGTAAATACTTGTTAATTATTAAAGTCTTGAATTATTAAACTATTTGTTCGTTAAAATATAAATTCATTAAAATTGTAGTCCAGTGTTGAATTTCTTGTGTCGTGAGTGTATTACATGAAGTAGAGTGAAATGCAAGCAACGATGGAGGGATACTCCAGGCTTCAGAACCACAGCTGGATACTATTGCAAATGTAATTGCAGCGGAAAATACATCGATGGACGACGAGGGACGTCGCGAATTGATGAGTGTTGAATTTAAATTTTAACAATTAATCTGTTTTCTTTAGCTACATTTTTTGTGTAATTTATTGCAATTTATGTATTTTTATTACATCAATAAGCAAATATTATTATTATTAAATTAATATTACTCTCATAGACTTGAAATAAAATTATTTAACTTTTTGTACGATCATTTTTTTTTCATAATAATTGAAATGAAAAATATTGTAATGATAAAATTTACAATTTTATAGAAATATAAAAATGTTGTTTCTTTT